TCGGGAACCCAGGTGTTTTTGGACTGCAATTCCCAGAAGCCTTCACCACCAGCTGTGCTGGCCAGGTGTAATATAAGAACATCTGGGATTCCCAGAATGTGAACCACTGTCATAAACAACTCTGCAATCCTACCCTTAAGTATACATTAAACACACCAATGAGCTAATCACAAAAAAGCCATTCCTGTCATCCAGCATGACTCCGCTGTCTTCTTTCCATGCTACTGTCCCCTTGTAGAATTTAAACATGTCCAGGTTTCATAACTAATATTGACTGATTGATTTGTTTCATCAAAATCAGCCTATATAGGGAGTTGTTCTGCAGATAAACTGTTCCATGTCTTTTAAGAAGGCTGTGGACCACCTGGAAAATCTTTCTGGGCCCCATGACTACTCAAGACACCCCAATTAAAAAAAAATTGTGAGTCATTATCCTGATAACATCTACAGAACATTAATAGCAACCTACTGAATTTTGCTTTTTAAAAAAAAAATTCTTGGGTGGCTTCTATATTTTCTTGTGGATATATCTTCTGCAGCCATTGTTGATGGTAAACGACCACCAGACAACTTGATCCTCCATGTATCTCCCTCTCTAACATGTCCTCTAACCCAATTTGCTTTTTAAAAAAAAAATTCTTGGGTGGCTTCTATATTTTCTTGTGGATATATCTTCTGCAGCCATTGTTGATGGTAAACGACCACCAGACAACTTGATCCTCCATGTATCTCCCTCTCTAACATGTCCTCTAACCCAAGGGTCCCCAACCTTGGGCCTTCAGATGTTCTTGGACTTCAACACCCAGAAATCCTGGCCAGCAGAGGTGGTGGTGAAGGCTTCTGGGAGTTATAGTCCAAGAACATCTGGAGGCCCAGGGTGGGGGACAACTGCTCTAACCAACAGACCCAATAGACAGTCAAGCCATGCCCACAACGACATGATAGGACAAGACCAGGATGATCATGAGTCAGCTGTCTTGCCCAACTGTGCCTAAACAGGTATTGGCATTAGCCACGACAAGACGATGTGGCTTTCCCCAGGATTAACCTCTTTTTTTCCAGGAAGTTGTTAGGAAATTCATCTGCTGATAGAACTCCATCATCTCAGCTCTTTGTTCTCGTCTATCAACTCGACCCACCTTTTCTGGAATGGTTGGGGAAAATCAACATAAGACATGAATAGCCGGACAAACGATGAATAACTTTAGATGATACATCTTGCAAACTGGTGGGACGGGTTGAAAGGTGGGACAGAGGACATCAACACGGAATGTTTCTTTTTTCCTGTGCTCGTTTTAAAAACTTTGCTTGGAAGTCTTTTCTATGACAGTAAAGCCATAAGTTCACCAGCTCCTGTGACTGGTGACATCACTCCCATTGCACAGGCCACGCTGTGCGATAGGATTGTGGCTAAAGCAAACACTTTAAATTAGTGGTTTCCAGCCTTCGGTAACCCAGGTTTTCTCAGACTGCAGCTCCCGGAAGCCCTGGCCATCACAGCACAACTGGTAGTGAAGGGTGCTGGGAATGTCTGTTTGAGAATAAGAATGACAGAAAAAGAGAGAAAGAAAGAATAACGTTTTTGGGTTATGACACCTGAAAGAATA